CCCCTCAGTAAGTCTCAGGGGCAGGAGGCCTTGGCTCGCCAGCCTGCAGCCCTGCTCTCCCAGGGTAGAATCAGTCCATGAGCAGACAGCGGTCTGGTCACCAGAGAATCGGGCTCCCTGCCAATGACACCGAGTCCAGCAGAGACCGCCCATCACGCGCTATCCAGGCCTCCCCTGCACAGAAAGCAGCAGACACACATGAAGGCCAAACCACCGCTGGTGAGCCAGTCTTACCTCCACTGGGGGCGTCTCTCCCAGCAACAGGTTATTAAAAATGGTGGCATAATCACCATTTAAATTCATCAGCTCCTCATGGGTACCTCTTTCCGTAATGCAGCCCTCTTTCATGAAGATGACCTCGTCACAGTCAACCAGGTACTGCGGACAAAGGCAGGACAGTGCAGTGTGGTTGACGTTTGGGGAAGTACACGCCAACGCCCACCTCTCAGCGCGGTGCTTCTCAGCTGGCTGTGACAATCACAGCGGGTACTAAAGGGACCCGGCGGACAGAGGCCAGGGATGTGCAGGGCAGTGCCCCACGACAGAACTTCCCAGCCCAGAAAGCCAGTGGTGTGAGGTGCGAGCCCTGGCTCCAGGGGGCTGTGCCTGGAGAGGCAGCTCTGAGCGGTTCCTGTTCTGTTCGCGGACCTGCCGAGGGGGCCCCTGAGCCTCACGTTACATCTCACAGCTGTTCACGGTGCTCAGTCAGAGGCAGTAACAGACCTCCTGCAGCAGAATGGGGTGAGCCCCCACGCTTGCCAACATATGTGGAGCAGATGGCATCCCTGAGCGGCTGTACGGAGTGGCTGCTTGTCACGGATGGCAGAGGGAGAAGAGGTGGTTGTCCCCAAACAGTTCCCACTCGCATACAGGTGGGGGCTGCAAAAAGTTCGTGGAAAATGGAGTTAAAGTATGAGTTTATTTTGATGTAATTCTTTTTGTATCCATGCTAATTTTTCCCATAATATGCATTTTTCACGAACTCTTTGAGCGCTTCAGAGGGATTAATGTGACACCTTCTAATCACACCCAAATTCCATGTGCAGCTCACCCGTCGGCACTTTTACTTGCTGATCTGTCTGCAGACACTAATACACTCCAAGGGCCTCTGACTCACACGGCCACCTCGTACACTGGAACTGTGGGCTGGGCTACTTGAGGAAATGGAAACTGCTGATTCCGGGAATCTTCTACTGCCCCACAAGGAGACCTCCTTGTTTGACTTCCCAAGCCGAGGTGGCAGCACACGCGAGCAAGCACCATACCTGTAACTGGTGGGTGACAAACAGGACCGTCTTGGACTTGAGGTGCTTCCGGATAGCACTGTTGAAGATGTGGTTGCCCACGTGGGCATCTAAGGCACTGAGGGGGTCGTCCAGGATGTAGATGCTCCTGTCGCTGTACAAGGCCCGGGCGAGGCTGACCCTCTGGCGCTGTCCCCCGCTCAGGTTGGCTCCGCGCTCGCCGATCTGCAGGAGTAGAGCAGTGAAGCCCCGGTCGGGACCAACAGTGCCCAACGGCCACCCGCTACCTCTCCTTCCCGCCTGGAGTGAACTGGGGGAGATGGCCCACGTTCCTCTTTCTTTCCCACAACCGTCTGACGCCAATCAATCCCACACCTGGTCTTGCCACTCTCCCTGGGCACTTCCCTCCAATTCATTCTTCAAATGGCAGAAAGATCTTTCTAAGACACAAAACCAACTATGGACCCAGACTTACTTAAAATTCTTTGAGAGCCGTAAAGCCTAGAATCTAAACTCGTAAACATGCCACAGAGACAGTCTTTTGCTCCTGCTCAGATACTGGGAGCTCCTGGCTCCCCAGCAGCTAGCTTTCGGCCTCCACTGCACAGCCCCCTTCCACACCCTGAATGCTAAACCATTTCAATCAATGTCATTATGAACACACACAGCAACGCCATGCCTTTCTTGTGCTGTGTCTGGCCTTCCATCATCCCTTCAGTGAAATCTCCCCAGACACCCAAAGCAAGGGAGTGCTATTGCTTGGTATTTTACACCTGTGTGGGTGTCTCATCTCAGCTGTAGACTGCTCGAGGGTGCAGACCACTGTCTTATTCTTTCACACTCCCAGTGCTGAGCAGTTTCTGCACACACTGCAGGCAGGGCACGAGCACCTGATAACTGTTACGAAGTGAACAGACGGATGAATCAGTTATCAGATGGTAACTGGTTCTGTATTTTTAAAAAATCTTGTCCTTAAAAAAAGCTAATTAAGGGCCAGCAGGTGGCATGGTGGTTAAGGCACTGGAGTCCCGCATGGCCAACTGTAGTTTGAGTCCCAGACCCAGCAGCTTGAAAACCACAACAGACAGATAAATAAATAAATATTACAAAAATTAAAAGCAGCCAAACAAGCTAGGTGGTCAGAGCGGCTGGACCCACATGGTCAGCTGAGCAGTCTGAGTCCTGGACCTGGCAGCTCGGAAAATACTCCAGGTGTGTGTACGTGCATGTCCCAATTCCCAAAAGGAGAGTGGAGGAGAAGGGGCTGAAGCATGGCCATCTCCCCTAGAGGGTAATTTCTCATTCTTTCTCTCTCTGCCTCTTTCTCCTGGCAAGCACACACGCCCTAGAGCGAAAACTAAAATAAATAAATAGTTAATTCAGAGGTTTTCAAGCATGACATTGCAGCAGGAAGAAGGAATGACCTGCAGGGGTAGTTAAAATAGATTGTGAAGGTGGGGCGAGCAGCTGGCATGGTGGTTAAAGTACTAGTCTCCCATGTGGCCAACTGTGGTTCAAGTCCCAAATCTGGTGGCTTGCTTTCTCACTTTCCTCCTCTCTCTCTCTGGTGAATTTTTAAGAAGTAGTAATAATAAATAAAATTAAATAAATCATTCTTTAAAAATAAAATAGACTGCTTGGGCGTGGGACAGCAGGTGGCCTGATAGTTAAGACACTGGATTCCCTCATGACCACCACGGTTTGAGTCCCGGGCTTGGTGGCTTCACTATCACACCAGGCGTGTGTGCCTGCGGTCCCAAAAATCCCGGGAGGAGAATGAAGAGACTGCAGCATGGCATCCCTTTTGGGGGTGATTTCTCACTTTCTTTCTCACTCTCTCTCTAGCAGGCTCATGTACTCTATAACAAAACCCTTGAAGAAAAGATTGCTGGGCCCGCTCCCAGTGCGTAAGTCGGCAGGTCTGGGCTGTGGCCTAAGAATTTCCTAACAAGCTCCCAGGTGCTGGTGCTGCTGCTGATCAAAATCAGCTCAATAAAGGTGCCAGTCCCAGAGACCTCCAGGCCAGCCCACGGGAGACCAGCACACACACACGCTTCTGGGGCCGCTCCAAGGCAGAGCGCCAAAGAAAGGTGAGCTTGCTCCAGGGGCCATTTCTTTCCAGTGGAAGAGGGCACTCTACAAACTATATTTAAGGAATAAGGAGGCTGGCAAAATGAAGTTCAGGGCAGAAGCTTATATGCGAACACTTGACATGATTTTAGAAGTATCTGAACATGGTGAAAACAGGAACCCCAGAGCCAGCAGGTAGCGTGTAGTTAGGGCACTGGACTCCCACCTGGCCCACCGTGGTTACAGTTCAGAATCTGACGGCCTAAAAATCATGCCAGGCATGTGTGCGTGCATGCCCAGAATCCTAGGAGGAGAAAGGATTGCAGTGTGGCCATCTCCCCCAGGGGGTGGGGAAGTGATTTCTCACTTTCTCTGTCTCTCTCTGGTGAGCCAATGCACTCTGTGGCTAAAACGTAATAACAACAGAAGACATTAACTCTGGGTCAGCCCACAGCCTGGTGTTTAAGGGAGCTGGATCCCACACGGCCACCCCCTTGACCTGGCGGCCTGGAAAACAGCAGGTGCGTGTGCTCCTAGTGCCCAAAACCCTGAAAGGAAGAAATGGAGAAGGGATTGTGGGGGTGCCCTGCTCCATGAGGGGGTACTTTGTTCCTCTTTCTCTGTCGGTCTCGGGCAAGATTACATTCCCTTTGGCCAATTCGAAAACAAACAAACAAAAACAACTCTGAATCCACAATGGGAGTTCGTTTAAAATCCACATGACGTATGAACTACTTACATACTTAAATCAGGTAGTGTTCATATCCTGACCCTAATGAACAAAAGCCTTCCTAAGAGCCCAGCGACACGTCCCGTGTAGGTTCTTCTCCATCATCTAAGACGCACTCCTAGGAGGAGTCTGGCCTGGCCCTGCCACCCAGCTCCCAGAAGGCTCTGCGAAACGCACTGTCCCACCAGCGGCAGGCCTGTACCTCGGTCAGGTCACTGTTGGGAAGAATGGCCAGGTCAGGCCTCAGGCAGCAGCTGTTCAGCACAGAGTTGTATCTGAAGGGCGGAGAGACAGAGTCAGGGCCGCAGTCAGAGCGGAGGAGTCAGGGCCGTGGCCACGATGGGAAAGCTCGACAGAAAACAAACATTTCTTGCCTTTCTTCATCATACTCCTTCCCAAAGAGGATGTTGTCTCTCAGAGTGGCGTTGAGGATCCAGGCCTGCTGGGCCACGTAAGCGAAGGTTCCACTGATTGCAATACTGCCCTCTAGAAGTGTCATCTGGGGAGACAGGGACGCCGCCCGACGGCAGCATAAAGGAAAACTGCCGGGAAAACCAGTGGCGTAACGGCTATGTCACTGGACTCCTATGTGGCTGACCGCGGGTCGAGTCCCAGACTCAGTGGCTTAAACTCACGCTGGGCGCGTGTGCGTGCGTGCCCAAGACCCTGAGAGGAGAATGGATTGTGGGGTGGCCATCCCCCCTAGGGGGTGATTTCTCGCTTTCTGTCTCTCTCTGTCTCTCTCTCTCTCTGTCTTTCTAGCGAGCGCATGTACCCTATAGCAAACCCACACTGTCACCCTAAGCCAGCAGAACTCCCCACACTGTGTGCTGAACTCTAACATTTTGGCAGTCTCCTGGCGTGCTCTTTAGACTCAAACCCAGGCCTGCCTTTGTTTCAAAGAGAGTTTTAGGGAACCAGCAGTTAGCGTAATGGCTATGTCGCTGGACTCCCACGTAGTCGACCACGGTTCGTGTCCCCTATGTCTCTCTCTGTCTGTCTGGCGAGCACACGCGCCCTACAGTGAAAATCTCTCCAAAAAAAAAAAAAAAAAAGAGTTTTAGCAACAAAGAAAATCCTAGCTCTTGGTGCTTGTGGACGATGGGAGCCCCGCACAGCCCACAATCGAGAAGCCCTCCCCGCACTCCGTGGGCAGGCACCTGCTTGCTGTTCTAAGGGAAGCACGAGAAGGCCTTTGCAGAAGTCCCCCGGCGAGGGCACTGTAAGGGTTTACACGCAGGATGAGGGCAGGCCGGTCACATTAATCCAGCGTGGTGGCAAGACCCGCTGCTTCTATAAAGTGAGGGCCGTAGGGAACACATTCCAAAAAGACACCCACTCGTGGGAAACAGCATCTACAAGACGAGTCTTTCCTCCCAAGACCAAGAGACGGCGTGATGAGCCACGGGCTCTGGCTTGTGTTTTCAGACAGGGCGATCAATTCCACTGGCCATTTCTCACGGCTCCCTCTGGGCAGCAGGCATCTGTCTTAGCTGAGAGACGCCACAGTTCTGGTGCCAAGGGCTGGGAGCCGGCCTGCCCTCTCAAACGCACTGCACACGGTGTGTGAACATGGGCACGGGAGTGCCTGCCACAGACGTCAGCACGGCAGGGCCGA